CCTCCTCATCATCATCATTCTGTAGTATGTACCACTACACAACAAAAAACGACCAATTTTTCCTCTCTTTGAGGTCAAATTGAGAAGAATCTTTCATATTGGAAATCGTTTGAACACGACTGAAATGAAAAATCGACAACCGCTTCTAGCACCAAATAGAATATCCTCGCATAATAAATATTTACTGTTATTGATCTCTGGGTGTTTCCGACAAATAGCCAAAGCAGAATCAAATCAGAATCGAAGCATCTGATGTGGGAACGTCCGAATTATCTTTACGGAGTTGCGTTTGAACTCTGTCGGGGGTATACTCAGATAAATTGGACTGCTTTGTAGTGTTGGGGACAGAATGTGTTTGTGTTTACAACGATAGAGTTGAATGAAATTTAATAAGTGAAGCGTTTTGTTGACGAACACGAGCTTTGTTGGAATAGGTTTGGATTTGTTAGAACATTCCAGAGTTACACAACTGTGAATGACTTGTATGTTATGAACTAGAGTTATGCAGAGAATAAATTTCGGAATACTTCAGTTTTGTGTATTATAATCCATAAAAACTCAGCTAAACTAATATTTCAAGGAGGATATAGTTGTGTGACAATATTGTCACAGATAGTGTTCGACTGATTTAGATTGCTCCTATGTGGACAACGTAATCCTCTGGAAACAAACATATGGGGAGCTTTCTTCCAAATTAACATGATTTATCGATCGGTCGTTCGGTAGCCGGTCGGTTCGACGTGGGTGCTTTGTTCACTCACTCAAATCGACCGCCGTGTTGGTCGGTGGTTCGACCCCAGGCTGAACGATCGATTTTCACTTGCTATCGTCCAACCCGTGTTAGGAATCATACGTTGAAAGGTAAAACCTCGTTCGTCCTTAGTTCGCACAAGTTTCGACTTCTGAGGGTTGCCGTTCCTAGGGGTGCGACAGCTGGCTAACAGAAAAAACAGATTTCAACATAACAGATACAATTCCAATGTGTCATTGGTGTTCAAGTGCTATCCTGACACCAGACCTGATATTCTCAATAAATTTCAGTGAATCGCTTAACTATAGAACAAATAGATATCTGAAACTCTTGATTTTACAATTTTACATTCAATATTATGGTGGACTGCCCATGATGGCAGTCTAGTTGGTTTCATGCACTCCCACGATATGTATATATCGAACAAAAGAGTTTACTGACAAGAAAACGAAAAATTGAAGGACGTTACTTCAAATCTAATATGGCCGACGACCCAAGATGACAGACTAGTTTTCAAAGCACCCCTGAGATATGGGAAAAAAATGAAAGGTTTCGCTGAAAAGGATAAAAAAACCGAAATAACAGCTGGCGTCAATGTTTTGGTTGTTTTTCGGGTTTCGCTATAGTCTTTGGTTATTATCTTCAATCGGGTCAACTGCAACTGCGGCAGTCATTTTTGGTGCGTGGTCGAAGTACTCTTCTTGACGTCTCAACTGAAGCTTTCATTTCAACCGTGTCATTTATGAGTCTGATTTTTCGCACACTTTCTCTAATGGCGCGTTCACACGTACTTTCCGTGCGATTCGGATGACTACGCTTTTTTATAGCGATTTTCAATGCTGTGTGCCAGATCTTCATTAGATATGTTCTCTCTTCCTTTCTGTTGGAGTTCTCTTGATGTTTGTATATTTCTATGGCTCAAAAATACATTCTTGTTGAATAATGATTCCACGATGGTAGCCTCTCGGTATTTTCGAACATAATCTTGTGTTCCCCGTCGGACAGTGCATGTTCAGCGACTGCAGACTTCTCGGTCTATCCCAATCGACAACTCCGCTTGTGCTCGACTAGGCAGGTACCAATTCTTCTTGTCGTCTGACCGAAAGAGACTTCAACACAAGTTCATTGAGTCTTGTAAACTCCCGCTGATTTGAATTGATATCTGCTGTATTTTGCTGGTCTCACATATTCCGATATTTTTTTCGTTGGTTTGAATACGGTGTTAATTTTCTCTTTCTTTAGAATTATCCTGATTCTGTTGGTGACACCTTTTATGTATGGCAGATAGACAGTGCCTTGTGGTTGATCGTCACTCATGTTTCTCTTCTTCTCACTTGGACGCGTAGCGCTGAATATGTATTTTCATTTCGTAGCTGTTTGCATGTAACGCACTCGTTAGGTCCTTCGTCGACGTACCTTTCTTCACCTACTCTAAACTCTTTTCACTAAGGTGTTGATGACGGTTCTTCGTTTCTGTTTTGGATGATGTAGGTATCGTATGGTATGGTATGGTAGGTAGGTATGTAGGTATCGATCTGTGAGTGTTTTCTTCCTGTACATCTTTTGGCCTAGTTGATTACCTTTCTTTATGACTAAAATATCAAGAAATGGAATTTGGAGGTTTTCTTCTAATTCAATGGTGAACTGGACTTTTGAATGAAAGCTAATCAGATGATTTAGGAAGTTCTAAAGTTCTTCTTATCCATGGCTCAGAACAATGAACGTGTCAGTTCTTCGGTTATTTTTCTGAAGTTTGAACGGCTCTTTCTTCAAATTTTTCCATGTGGAAATTCACCACTACTGGGCTAAATGGACTGCCAATGGCCACTCTATTTACTTGTTCAGGAAAGGTTTTATTCCTTCTGAAAATAATTTGTCATTAGTGACTGTCGAAATAAATTGATACCTTGTGGAAAGATATTCTCTATGTAGCTGAGGGATTTCAATAGTGGTATATTTGTGAATGAGGATACAATATCAAAGCTAACTAGAATGTCATTTTGCTCCAAGGTGATCCCTTTCAAATGTTTGTTATAGTTTTTTAGGTACATCCATGATATGGCTATTGTTGCTAGATTCAGCTGTGCAGATGAATGAGAATTCAACATCTAACTTGATTTCGACCTTCGTAATTCTTTCGGAAACGGAACAGCGTGTTCCGCTTACCAAGCATCATCAGGAACTGCAAAGACTGAGTCTTATTCATCTCCTGATGATGATTCCTATCAAACTGAAAGAAAAAGAATGTAATCAATCTTTCACAAATTACAAAGAAACTATTGAACAAAGGAATCTTTGGATACTATTACCCTCATGATAGAGTACTGATAACCCTGTTCGTTTCATTTGTATATGAACAATTATGCTTTCAGTTATCAGAATCAACAAACTACTGGGAATGATTTGATTAAAAAACAAACACGGCAGGATTGTTGTCCATTACTCGAATTTAACCATCGCAGTTCGGATTTGAAGAGGTGGACCTGAATTTCGAACCGTTTGTTTGCCTATGAATGATTTCTGCATATTCATTACAAATCATGGGCTGGGATAAGTTACAATCATTCGCAACACCTTCACTTGGAGCAATTGAACAGATAAACGTATTGTAGGATTTTGTATGAGGAGTAGGTTAGATATAGTTCATAACTATTCATGGGATGCATGCTTACTAGAAATTGCTAGGGGGACCCAACACAATTGATCATCGGGACAGTTTGGTACAATAAAGAAAGCTAAACTCTGCTTTCTACTCATTATTATAATTTTCACTACTTGATTTGGTGATATTTGTATTTATTGCCTAACTGAATATTATAATGAATCGACTTTTGTGGAGATCACTATTGATCTTCATCAAGTAAAGGCCGAATCAATCAGAAAAAAAAACATTCTGTCAGATTCCAGTGGGACGTTTGATACCCTCAATCACACTCTTTTATTTGGCATTCACAGATATATAGTGCTTTTGGGTACAGCTATTTGTTTATCAGAACATTATCTGTGAAATAGATTCCAGAAAGTTTCTTTTGACAACATAGAGTTTAACTATTTTCCACTCATATCTGTAGTACCACAGGGCTCAATATTGGGTGCCGTGTTGTTATCTCTTCACTCCGCCAATCTTCTTAGAAGTATTCAGCAATGCAACATTCATTGTCATGCGGATGATACCCAAATAAACTGGTGCTTCAACCTTTCAAAAAAATATAATAACCGCACTCCCTTTTTTACATTTCTGAAACTTCATCTGAGAAGAAGGCCATATTTTGAACGTTTTCGATGAATAATTCCATAGAGTTAAATAATCATACTCCGGTTTACCGCATCTTTGTTACGCCAATGCATTGGATGAGCTGACGTACGTATTTATCTGAAGTGTGACTGCGGTGTTGCCTATATGTAAAATATTTCAGATTATGATTGTGCAATGACGATTAATTCGATTGTCAGGTCTCATATTGTTTGGAGAATTTCGAAAAACAATAACTGGAATTTGAAAATCTGCTGAAATGGAACTATAACAAATATCAGTTAGTATTAATTTATAGAACGGATCATCAATCGAATCCCTATAAGTTAATATAATCGAGGTGGATGAATAAATAATTTTTCTGTATTAAAGTAAACTGAAATACAAAACACTACCGTAGTATACATGATCATAGAAGTCCTGGATAGTTTGATGCAAAAAGTCAGGAATCTTGGCTGTATAAATGCAAAAGACAATTTTTTTTTTCTCATTGTCTCTAAGTCTCTGAGTACCTAATGGAAATATACAAATATCTATGAACACTTCTGTGAAGAAAAAAGTTCAACCATGTACATCTGGAACTACATTTGTCACGAAATCATTGAAAAAACGACATTTTTGTGATCATGTTGTGCAGCGAATAAATCCACTTCTATTGTCTACCACTATTGTCACTTCTATAGGTGATCACCTATAGGTGATAATTTCAGCATGATGCCGCTGTAAGATGAACGAGAAATTTCTGCGAGACTCTGTGGATATCTTGCATGAATGTCTGTCGAAAATATTTAATATCTAGGGTGGTATAAGCCAAGAAAATAGTTGTTTTCCGACAGGCATTTACCAGAACCTACGCGGTGTAGGAAGCTGATACAGATGAATATTATAAGATTTTATTTGGAAATATTTATTACTAAAACATAAAATTGGCAACAATGTACAAATAAATCGTTCCTACAATCGAATACTTTACAGGAACACCGTATAGAAGTTGTGTTTACTTCTATATGGTGACAGGAACAAGAAACTTCATTCTTTTGACTTTTGCAGATTGTAAATTGAAGGTTGAATTTTATCAGAGTTGAAAGTGCGTAGTGACTTTTTTGAAGGATAATAGTGTGAAAAGGATTTGTTGACTATTTAAAAGTGAGTAAAGATTACAACTAGAAGACATGCTGGTGTGCATGTGAATTTAACATAACCTATGAATCCAGTGTAAGGGAACAATCAATTTTTAGAGTATTCAGTCATTTGAACTGTATTATTTCTGTGCAAAATGCTTTTCATATACAATGTGTCGAAGATAAGGAAGGCCAGTATGATAAATCGCAAACCGTAAGAGGTAAAGTCAAATAAACTAAGAAAAAGTTGACTATTTGGAAATGTTATAAAATTTGAAAAATTCCAATAATGAAGGTGTTCAGTGAAGTTGTCGCCAAAAAGGTTATCTTATAACTCAATTGTCTATTGTTCGAAGACTGATTAATATGTTCAATAGCCATCTTTTATAGCTTGAAAAGTGGCAATGAGATTTTATTTTTGTTTTTTTAACATCTTCTCAAGTAACATCAGGAAAAAATGCAAATGAAATTGTCGAATTTCGGTTCTTTTCGAGTATCTCCGGAAATAGAATGTTCCGACTTTTGAAATGTCAGTTGAATAAGAATACTTTAGTTTAACTGACTTTGTAACCCAGTGACGGCTCGTGCATTGGAGAACAGGGGAGGCTAAAGTCATATAGACTATATACACACAGAAAAGCCCGCCGGAGGCGCGAAAATTTTTATGTTGTTGCACGCTTTGTTTAATACTAAAGTTAGGACATGGCAATACGTAAAAAGTGCATGTGAAGCTATGGACTTTATTTTAGTTTGTAAATCATTTAAATGGCCGGCCATAACCGCAGCCCCATCATAGGTTTTCGCAATTAACTTTTGCCTAAAATTATAGGTGTCACACGTACGAATTGAAAAATTAGGCAGGACTTTAGTATTTGGGATAACGCCCACCAGGGGGAGTGGCATATCAATCGAAAAGGGACGATGAGAGGAACACAATGGTATGGGTTTCATCGTGAAGAAATGACAATATATTACATATATTTTGGTTTGAACTGACTTTTTATACATTTAATGAGTTCTAAGAAGGGATCCAACTTATTGTGACGGACTTCCCGACGACAGAGATATTCGCACATGTGCATGGCCAGGTCATCACCACTGTAACCACGCTCTTCCAAATCGTGTTTCAACCATTTCCAACTTCGTTCTATTGTCTGAGTGTGTGCACCGCTTTGTTGATCGACGAACCGTCCTTTGCCTTTCTTACTGTGGTTAACGGTTTTGTGAACATATCCTTCATTGGAGAGGGATAGGGTAAGGTTTCCACCCGTCTGGCCTTCTTTGTAGACCTCGTTCAAGGCCACCATACAGACTTCTCGACAATAGCTGTACCAATCAGCTACAGTGGCACTCGATGTCTCTCTTTGATGGCTTTCTCGTAATCCATTTCATTGGCGAAGCAGTATATCAATGTCACGGCCTTTTCGATAGGCATCGACAAGTGCTCGAAGAATGTCTCGGCTGATGCGCTTTGGTTTATTCTGTGCTTCAGGCACCGTCATCGACCTAAACCATGATCTGCCTCCCACATCATTTTCTTCGTTCGACAACTGCGACATATTCTGTCTTTTATCGGCGGAAGCAATTCTTGATCTCTTAACCATTGAAAACAAGTTTCCCTGTTTTTAACGACTTCGTTCGCCAATCGTATCAGATTCATCTGGAATGAGATTCACATTATTATCATATATATACTTCACCGTTGTGTTCTGTTGTTTGTGTTGTTCGTGTTGTGTGCGCTAAATAGCCTGCCCCAACCGGGATTCGAACCTGGTACCTCAGCCTCGACAAGCAAGAGCGCTACTACTGCGCTAATGAGACTGAGGTGACAGACAAAAATTAAAACTTGTATTTGAATTTTCACTTAGGTTAGGTTAGGTTTGGTTAGGTTAGGTAAGGTTAGGTTAGGTTAGGTTAGGTTAGGTTAGGTTGGGTTAGGTTAGGTTAGTTCATGTCAGAAAATTTTGACATTTTTCAAATTTTTTTCCTCTTATTTCCTCGCGATAAAACCCATACCATTGTGTTCCTCTCATCGTCCCCTTTCGATTGATATGCCACTCCCAATGGTGGGCGTTATCCCAAATACTAAAGTGCAGCCAAAAATTAAACAAATCGTCAGCTGTGCGCCCAGATGAAACATCATGAAAACCCATAAAACGTTCTAGCACATTACCATCTTTGACATATCTAAAAACGATTGAAAGTTGTGATGTACAGGTAATATCGGTAGTTTCATCAATTTCCCATGCAAAAAAGAAACACTTTCTATCTCTTTGCTTATATTTTCCTTAATAATATATGCCACACTGGATGGTTTTTGAGGTGCCCGAAAAAACACTACTGTTTAAGAAAGTGCCAAATTGTGAATCATATTTGCCCCATAACACGAGGTAAATTTTTAAATCGAAGTATCCTATTTTAGAACACGTTTGGTATTCGTTTTGTACGGAAAAAACGGGCCAACTGTGTGGCCCACGTTATAAAATAAGAGTGGAATCATCATCGTTATTCAATCCGATGATGATTCCACCTCATCCGAATATAGCGAAGAAGAATTTTGATTTTTATAGCAATTTTGTTGGCCTCTATTTATTATTTTGTAAATCTATGTTTGACGAGAATAAGGTGTGATTATTTGCGTTTTTATTGTATGGTTTTCATTTTATTTTAGAGTTTTCGTCTCGGAAATCAACTACCTTAAATTTCGAAGTTTTTCGTAATTACCCATGGTGGAAAAATTCAGTTGAGATAACTTTCTCATGGGGTGATCAATTGCTATGATTTTAAGAATAAGTAACTGAAAAACTACCACTGAAAAATAATATGCCGACGCCTATATCGAGGTGAGAATTCCTTCGCTGTGCTGTTCCAATTGATATTGGAAATATTATACTCAAGTGTATTTTTCTTTCAATATGGACGAAATTGAAAGAGACAATGTTATAATTGCTGCAGACTTATCGCGAGTCGTAAAATTATCGGATAAATCAATTCTTGAAAATCTTGCACTATTTTAGTCGAAATGAAATCTGTTTAAAATTTGTTTTTCCGTTAAACAGCTGTCGCACCCCTACGAACGACAACCCTCAGAAGTCTAAACTTGTGCGAGCTAAGGATTAACGAGGTCTCACCTTTTAACGTGTGATTCCTAACACGGGTTGGATGATAGCAAGTGAAAATCGATCGTTCAGACTAGCGCTTGAACTACTGACCAACATGGCAGTCATCTCGAGTGAACAAAGCAACCACGTCGAACCGCCTGGTTACCGACCGATGAATTTAAAAACAAAAAAATGTTTTCCGACTCTATGGTTCTATCACAGTTCTACCATTGTGACATGGTTTACGGTCCTTTTCTTCGGAAATTTGATGCATTTTGTATCCAAAAGGTACAAAATTCATCTACGTCTAATTCTCAATCTCGAAAGAAGAGACAGGATTTCGCATAAGTTTAAGGAAATGGGATGGTTAAGTATGTATAATCGCTGTTTATAAAGTCATTAAAACAAATACAGCTGAATATCTTAATTTGAGGAGAAAGAACCTTATGGATATTCCAATGCATAATAAAGCAATATCAGTTATAGCTATATCAGATTGCTATAAATGCCTCTTTACTGGATATTCTCAATTTTGCATTGTCTTTGAATTCCTTCAAAAAAATTGCTGACACAACAATGACATAACTTAGCGAATAAAATGCATTTTTGTAGTTTAAATTAGTTCAACCAGTGGTATATTATGAGTATTAATCAATCATATAGGTTCCGGTACTTATTTATAATAAGTAGGTAAATTTTTCATTAATGAATTATCATTATTATATTTTCAGGGGAGTGTGGAAGAATCGGTCAACTGACCTAATTCTACTCCTTTTGTTTTGCTGTCTTCTTTTGGTTAGGTTTCACAGTTCTGTAATTATTCCACCGGCAGACAATAAACAATTTATTATTATTATATTTGTATCCATATAGTTTTTCTCCATGAAGACAGTTCACTATTACGTGAACATTACTCTAAATGAAGATTCAGAAACGAGTGGCAACTGAAACGTACAACAAACAAGGTACAAGAAACTCATTTTTACTCACTAAGCTACCACTAATGGCAAGTTATCGAAACTTGTTAATCTCAATTAACGCGTTCATAAGTCCCATAATAGGTAACACATTTTTTCAATTGTGAAACACTCAAGTTTGGAGTGTTGTTTATTTTTTTACAAATTTTCTACACACCCCTAGATAACCTAGAGATATGATTATATACTGAATTTTTCCTCCTTCATCAATGTGTACCTACCATTACAACTTGTTTATTTTGTCATCAGTTCTGCAAAACCAAATCAGCAGCTCTCTTCCAAGTTGAAATTTTACATGTCACTCATAAAAATATTACACCAAATTGAAGAATTTTCGTTGTTAAAGTTCCAAAAATATATTTCTGCAAATTCATCTATAATTTTTTTTTTCCAGGAAAAAGAGCCTGAACATGAGTAGAAAGTTGAAATCCCTCTTCACCGTAACAGTAGCTGGCTATGCGACTTATGGTGTCCTAAGCTTCTGTAAAGGAAACGAAAATTTTTATAAGAACACCATCATGCCTCTTGTTCGTAAACTCGATCCAGAAAATGCGCACAAACTGGCTGTGTTTGCAAGCAAATACAGATTGATTCCCAAGAGTACCTATAAGGATTCCGAAATCCTCAAAGTCAACATTTTTGGTAGACAATTCTCGAATCCCGTTGGCATTGCGGCAGGTTTCGACAAAGACGGTGAAGCGGTGCTTGGTCTACAAGATATAGGCTTTGGATTTGTTGAAATAGGATCTATAACCCCCAAACCTCAGCCTGGAAATGAAAAGCCCCGTGTCTTCAGGTTAGCAGAGGATCATGCTGTCATTAACAGGTACGGTTTCAATAGTGAAGGACACGATGATGTGCTGGCCAGGATCCAGAATTTAAGACGAAACGAAAAAGAGTTGGTAGTTTTGGGTGTTAATTTAGGAAAAAATAAAACCTCAGTTGATCCAATTGAAGATTATATGGAAGGCATCAAGAAATTTGGAACAATTGCTGATTACCTGGTCATCAATGTCAGCAGTCCCAATACGCCTGGATTGAGATCGATGCAAAATAAAGACATTTTGAAAAATCTCCTTAGCAAAGTGGTGGAGGCTAGAAATAATCTGCCAATCAAAGAGAAACCGTGCCTCCTTTTAAAACTGGCTCCTGATTTATCCATGCAGGAAAAGCAAGACATAGCCGATGTACTGAAGCAGAAGGAATGTAGAGTTGATGGTTTGATTGTTTGCAACACGACCGTAGACAGGCCTTCATCGCTGACCTCCGAATGGAAAGGTGAAATTGGTGGATTGAGTGGAAAGCCCTTGAAAGACATGTCTACGGAGATGATCCGTGACATGAGCAAGTTGACTGGTAGGATGCCCATAATAGGCGTAGGAGGCATTTCTACAGGCCAAGACGCTTATGAAAAAATAAAAGCCGGCGCTTGTTTAGTGCAGCTGTATACATCGATGGTTTATGAGGGTCCACCAGTTGTTGCCAAAGTAAAGAGGGAACTTGAGCAACTGTTGAAACAAGATGGGTATAAGAATGTATCGGAGGCAATAGGACAGGAAAAGTGATCCACCCAGAGTTGAGTTCCTTCTTCTTCAAAGAGAAATTGAAGAAAGAGTATACACAAGTTTTCACTAGAATCTGTCGGCTACTTGTGAGACGGAAGATTTGTCATATGGAATAAGAGTCACTTTCGAGATGGAAGATTGGTCGTATTGAATGAAAGTGTCAGTTCCGCGAAGGAAACTAATGATAATTTCGGGAGTTGAGGAAGTATAAGATACCAGTCCATATGTTTCTGTACGGTATTTTCTATTTGAAAAATTGTTATGAAAATTCATAAAGTTATTGAGTAAATTAGTTTGTATTGATAACTTATAAAATCTTGAAAGTTAATTTATTGATGAGGCTTGAAAATGTTTGTACATTGGTATATACAATGTATATACATTGATGTAAAAATGCGTATCTGCCTATAATTTTTGTTAAAATTCCGACGAATCTGAGAAAAGACATATAAATGAAAGAATGTATATCGAATGGGTAGGATTTTGGTAATTCCAAGGTGAAGTTGCATAAGTGAATAATTTTTTACTTCAATGTCGAATTGTGACAAATGTGAAATTTTTGTTCATAGGTACTTATTTCATTGAAATTGGAAACTTATTCATGTGTGAATTTTCATTGAACAAAATTTTACTTTGTCTATCAAATATGTGATGTACAGTTAGCCTTCATAATTTTGTTGGTAACATAGATCATGAGATACAAATCATTTCACAGAATTATTTTTTTTGTTTTTGTTTGATTCATGCAAAAAAAGAGACAGTAACTCTTGAATTCCGAATGATTGAAAATTATTATAATGATTTTGAGAGAATAATTCTAATGTATTCATGATGTGTTTCATTCAATTGAGAAAACATGATATCAGAAAGACACCTGGTGAATCAACAATCATTTTTGAATATTTCAAGATATAAATAATTCAAAACATTTGATAGTCTTTTTCATACTGAAGTTTTTCTGTTTAATAGTAATTGCCTTGATATTCATTATGTTCAATTTCTGTTGAAAATGATATTTCAATATCTCTGGTTGCACAAAAAAAATTATGAAAAATTGAGTTTTTGAGCTTATTCAAATCTATATTGAACAAAATTTAAGTCCAAATGGTCAGAATATGTATTCAAAAGTACTGTATTTTAATGTTCACCTCATGAATATGCAATTAGACAACCCTTGCCGAAACAATATAGCTCAGGTAACAGACTGGGAATTGTCTATAGAATTGAAAATAATTGTCCTTTCTTAAACTTCTCTGAATTCCTAATGTTTGCTAAATTCTTTCAAGTAACATAATCCTTAATAATGTGGTGGAGTTGCCCAATACTAGATGAAAATCCAACATAAATCCTTAGGTTTATTTTTTCTCTTGACATGACTTGAAAAACTACTGAAAAAAGCTTTCAAATTAGTTTTTTGTACAATAAATAGAGCTTGATGTCTTGAAGTCTATGAAATAACTGTGATCAGTTATTTCGTAGATAAGAAGAAGTAACTCAATAATGGCTCGTTAAAATCATTTACAACAATTACGTACTCGTCTGAAAAACTTTATGCAGAATCACAATCTTCAACCTGCAAGCAACTGTATCTACAATGTCTTCTGACATAAAGCAAATCCCCTCTGCCGACTATTCACACAATACAAGATTCCGTTATAAAACCTCTAAATAGTACAGCCAAAAACCAACGATTCTTTGTCTAACTCTGTCCACTAGTATATGCCCAACTTCCCCGAAAAATGGAAGGTTTACCAACATTTAAATTCAAGAGAGCTTTGAGAACTTGGTTCTTAATCATTTCATTTCAACCGATGATGAAAAAATCATAGATGATTGTACTTTTTTTCAATTTATAACGTTTCATTGAAACATTAAGATCCAAATTAGAAATAGCTTCACAAACAGTAATAGTGTAATAGGGAGGGTGTAGTTTTTTCCTGTACAAGGTCAAACCTTAATAGAAACGAAGCTGCATTTCGGTGTTATTTGCTGTTTCTTCTTTGAGTACTGTGTTTAACCTTAACCTACTTCCTCCTGTGGATTTCTACTTACATCCACTGTGATTTTGAGTTCAAAATTTTTTCCCTGTGCTCAAGATGTATACTTACAGAAACCCAAAATTTTCACTTGACTGATACATTAGAATATTGTAACTTGTTCATTTGTAACATAAGAAATCATTTGATTTGATGGACACGTAGTTCTTACTTTTATAATAGCGAATTGTTATGGTTAGAATTAGATATTATACCTTTGATATTACAATTTATATTTATATTTTCATAAATTGATAAATTATATCATTTTCTCACCACTTACAAGCATCTTATTTGCTTCCGTGGGCTGCTCCATATTTATTTGTATATATTTTTGTTTCTTTATGAATATATGTTGAATAATTATTGGCAGATATATTATTTCATTATTTTTTTATTACTGCTCATCTTAAAAAAAACTCATTGAGTTTAAAAAAAATGGATTCTTAGACCATTATAGGTAGTTCTTGAAATTTGTATGTTACACATTTTTATGAATTTTTGGAAATATTTAAATTCCGTTTCGTTATGGAAAATGAGTACTCAATTACAGAACATTTGATATGTATTTTTCTGTATCATTTCTGAAATTCATTTTTACATTTTCTTTAATGTAATAGAAAATGAATATCTTTTCTTGCTGATATCATGCCGGATATTGAATTATACCCGACAGACATTTATGCAAGATACCTCGCAGAGGTTTTGATAATCCAGCATTGATATCATTTACTGAGCTGAAAATCTTTTTACATAACGATTTTCATGACATCAGTTGAAGTAAAAGAATATTGATTTTAAAAAAAGTCTCACACTCCCCTATATGTATAATGGTGTATTAGGAGAAGGGAGTTTAACAGTTCAATGAATTCACTCAGAGAAAACATTATATTATATCTGAAGGGAAAATATTTCAGTAGAAAAGATTTTTTGGGAAAAAACTTTTTGGACTTTTCTTCCAGTTTGTGTCCAAAAAAAAAACTTCTGCGTATGATCTACACATCTACTTTTCTTCCAGTTTGTGTCCAAAAAAAAAACTTCTGCGTATGATCTACACATCTTTATAAAGATCTAGTTTTAAATAATTATACTCTTAAAAATAAACTGTTAATACACCGCGAAGTTTTTCCATATTCAATAAATATTTTTTTTCGGAATTGTTTCATTTTCCGTGATTTGAATGAATATACCAATAAAGAAAATCGGGAGAAATTGAATTGCTTGATCTATAAAATTGAATATACTGTATATGTTCGAAACGGAGTTTGAAAATTATTCCGTTAAAAATTCAGTTCAGTTTTTCAAAAACCCATTCCTATCTTTTATGTTTCATATGGAATGACAATAAACTTTCGAAATTCTCTTTTTCGAAAAGTCAGAGATTAATGATGACACTTTTCCAATTCATTTGTCAATATATTCCATTTGAAGGAAACCTGTTACTTTCAGCTATTTTTTCAATTGCATTTTGGTCAATATTTTTGCAAGACAAATCCATAGGAGATTCAACTATATTAGGTTCGTCTTTGAACAGATAACAGTTTTATTTTAAGGAGTCCATTGACGTCTTTGAACAATCGCATCATTTGTATTTCAGTCAAATTTTCATTTTAAAACTCTTATTTCGAATTAATTTGATAGCTCGTTATCATTGTGTGGTATGATCCATTTTAACTTCCAATAAGAAAGGATTGAAAACCAAAAATATTATGTTGTGTTATAATCACAACTTGTATCCTTTTCATTTAAAAATTATCCCACTGAAAATTGGCACATTTATGTTCTCAAGAACAATATTTGCTCCCAAAATAGTCAATTCAAAAAAGCTGTAAACAGAAAAGTTTTGTTCCGCCATTTTTGTTGTGGACGATGGTGAAGAATTATAAATATTCTTCACTCTCTGAAATTGATCATATTTCCCACAAATTCAAACTCGCTTCAAAATTACATATTCACCTAGCTGGAAAATTGTGTCCTCATTGAATTTGATGCGCCCCTGTAGAGAATTAATTCGACTTGATGTTCAGGAAAAGTCAATTAACGGGTATTGCCAGACATTTCGTAATTATCGTTCATCTCAAAATTGATCGATCCCAATCTGTGTATCCACTGGGAAAAGGAGTTCGGAAAATATTAAGATTAATTTTCTAAGAAGCTTATCGAGAAAGATTGATTATTGATTGAGACTTGAAGTCACGACAGATGCAGAGATTTAGTTATAAGAAAATAATGCAAGTGATGAGTATTTACATTTAGTTTTATGATTTGTTGTTTGAATACCACCAAAATTAATTATGTATACGATAACAAAATATTAGATGCATATCAATAATACAGAGTATAACTGAATAAGTGTAAAACATTCAAGGAGTTGATTCCTCATCGAAAAAAAGCTAGAATCTTTCATATAAAGAAATATCATTGGAGCATCCCTTGTTAAGATACAGCCCCTTAAAGGGGCGCAACCTCTAAAATTTATTTCCAATGTAACTTTTTGTCTTATTATTTGTTCACCATTTTAAAATTCATTTCCGATAGCATGATTCATTCTAAACTAAAAATGTCTCTTGGGTTTTTTGCCCAAAATAAACCAGTTCGCAGCAAAAAATTATTTTACGAACAACTATAGACATACATCGTCATAAATGTGAACTGGATTTATTGTTATTTTGTAGTTAGTACATGCATGTTATATTAGAAAGTGAACCACATAACATGCATGTTATATATTCCAATACAATGGGTCTTTTATAACCTTATTGCGCATTATGTATAAGTGTCACCCTGAAACTAGTCGTCTTAATTAAAAGCGCAGATTCATTTCCTGTGTTTCACAGATGCTAAATCATCACTTGGAAACATATAAATTCAATTCTTCGGGACTCGCCCGCATTACTAGTGCGGTCCCTGACTAACGTTACATCTCCTAGAATCCTGGCGCGATTCAACACGGTTCTAGTACGGTCACTTGCTATCGTAATATCGACTAGTTTCAACCAGTGTAGGTTAAGAAAACAAACAAAGAAACAAATAAAGAACCAATAAAGAAGTAACAAATTAAAAGTGTTTTTAAAAAGTCTTCGAGCAAAGCTACGATACAACAATTGGCGCAGTCGATAGGATGACTCAACGTTGCAACGGCGGTTTCCAACCCTTAAGTCATCGAAGAATCCCACAACCCCAAAGGAGACGGTCTCTCTGACGGTTCCCACAAGAACTGGACTCCTGGTTTGCAGAGCAAGGATTTCATCTTCTTTACACCCAGAAACCACAACAACACATCCTGATCCTTAGAAGACGGTCTCTCTGACGGTTCCTACAGAAGTGGACTCCTGGCTTACAGAGTAGGATTTCATCTTCTTCGCCCAAGTCCACAACGAAATGAAAATTGTATTATTAGGGTTAGTCGTCATCTCGATTCTCCTTTCATTTCAAATTTCATTTGAGTATTTATTTATGTACATGGTGTGATCTGTTCTGTTCCTGATATCCCCTGAACGTATTACAATTACAACGTTATTACAATTACAATATATCCAATCCCAGATAAAACATCACAAACGATTGTAAATACACTATCGTTATTTTTCCAACACTACGGTACCCCTTTAAGAATACATTGTGACTCTGGTAAAGAATTTACTTCAGCCTTAATGAAAGATTTATGCAATCTTTATGACATTAAATTGACACATTCAAGCATAGACCATCCACAATCGAATGGATCTATAGAACGATTCCATGCTACCCTTAAGAAAATCATCAGAATACATATGTCAAACCACCCTGACGAACACCCCTTTAATGTACTGCCATACTCGATAATTACGTACAACAACTCAAAGAATCGAACCCATGTATTCACTCCGTACGACGTATTCGCTCAAATATTCCTGGAGTCTCTCTAATTACCCTGCACGCATCGATGATGCGGTTTCTTAAGTCCTCTACATCGTGAACTGGTACGATAAACCAAATGCTGTAAATTACCCCGAATAGAGAAATCGAATGGATTGAGATCCGGGGATCGAGCGGGCCAGTTTTGTAGTCCTCCTCGACCTATCCACTGATTTGCATGTTTCAGTTGAGCGCTGATGTGCTACTCGACTAAAATGGGCGGGAGCCCCATCATGCATAAAAAACATATACCTTCTGATGCCCAAAGGAACTTCCTCCAGCAGTACTGAACGTATATGTCTCACCATTTAATCGAGGAGGTAGAAAATGAGGCCCAATTAAATCATCCACAATAACTCCGGGACACACGTTAAGACAAAATTGTTCTTGATGGTTAGTTTCGACAATAGCTTGAGGGTTTTCATCAGCCCATATGTGGTAATTATGAAAATTAATAATCTTGTCCCGAGAAAAACTACATTCGTCTGTGAATTCTATCGTCTTCAGAAAGTCACAATTTCTTCTGATCATTTCCAGCATCCAATTGCAAAATTTAAGACGGTTCGGAAAGTCTCGGGGTAACAGTGCCTGTACTCGTCGCAGATGGTAAGGGTATAAGAGTTGTTTCTTTAAAATTTGAAATACCGTCATATGATCAACATTTAGCTGGAAAGCAATCTTTCTAGTACTGGTAGTAGGTTGTTCTTCAGTCAAATTAAGTACTGCTTCCTCAAGCTGTGGTGTTCGTACTTCGTCGAGCAAACATGCTCGAAGGATGCTACTATTGAGGATACATTTCAGCATATCTTCTAGAAGCTTCTAACCCATTCTCCTGCGACAGACCGTAAAGGTAATGCATATCAGCCATTTCCTCATTTGTGTATGTCATTTTGATAACAAGTGAATTATTGAAGTAACTAATTAAGAACAGAACAACAACACACAATTAGTATTAATTCAATTTCGGAAATTCACCAACTGACAGCGTCATACCAATTTAATTGTCACTATCGCTAATAGCGACGACCTACTAGATAGATTAGTTTCGTATTTTCGCATTTATGACGATGTATTCTCTGTAGTTGTTCGTAAAATAATATTTTGCTGCGAACTGGTTTATTTTGGGCAGAAAAACCCAAGAGACATTTTTTGTTCAGAATGAAACAATCTATCGGAAATACATTTTTGAATGGTAAACAAATAAAAAGTCAAAAAGTAACATTGGAAATAAATTTTAGGGGTTGCGTTTTCCACCCCTTACAACCAAATGAATTTCTGGCTAAGTGTCTTTTTGGTAGTTCAAAACGTTAGGTTAATTTCAATATTGTAACTTTTCGTGCTCGTGAAAACAAATTTTATGTACCCCCTTTAAGGGGCCGTATCTTAACAAGGAATGCTACAATGAATTCTCTTTATATGAAAGATCCTATCATTTTTTCGATGAGGAATCACCTCCTTGAATGTTTTAC